TTTCAGTGGAGAAGCCTACACAGAATTTTAACCACTGAATATAAACTTAAACAAATGCAGAAATCAAATGGTCTATGTAACTTCTGCAAAGAAGTACATGAAACCCAACAACATCTCTTTAGTGGGTGCAGGTTTAGTGAAACAATTTGGTTCAGGATAGAACAATTACTAAATGAAAGTCTAGCAACAAGCAATGTTCATATTAGGTTAACAGAAAAGGAAAGAATCTTTGGTGTCTCAGAATATAATGATAATATAAATAAACTATGTAATCTAATCATATTTCAGTCTAAATGGCTAATTTGGAAGGCAAGAAATCTACAGAAATTTGAAAATGAAGATCAAATTCCACTATCATTATTTAATAGGATAACAAACCAATTGAAAAATACAGCGGATAATATAATAAGTGCAAACAGACAAAATTATACATTCATTGCTTTAATTCATTCATTGAAATCACAGCTATAGCTATAATTAATATAAATACAATTATGTTGCTACTGTAATGAATAAGTACAAAAAGAATTGTGAGTCTTTATAAATTTACCTACTCTGATAATGAAAATAATGAGTGAATGAATGAGCCTGTGTGATAATTGGTTTTTGTTATTTTAATCTGATGAAAATTTATATAATATATATAAAACAATGTATACCTAATAAGAATGAAGTAGGATGATGTATAGAACAATGTATGCAGGTTATAAGATGAAAAATGATGTAGTGATATGTAAAACAATGTATGCTGGTTATATAAGATGAAGATGAAGAATGATGCAGTGATATGTAAAACAATGTATGCTTGTTATAAGATGAAGAATGATGTAGTGATATGTAAAACAATGTATACTGGTTATAAGATGTATATAAAAATATGCAAGTTATTGAAATAAAACATTTTGAAAGAAAAAAAAAAGAGAGTTATGGCCCTTGATACAGTGTTAATATTTGACCTATCATTTTACCCGATACAGGTATATATACATATGTATACACCCACTGTGTTGTTCTGAGCCCTTTCTAAAGATTTAAGTTCCTTTAATTGTTGCAATTTTTTTCTCTGATGAAATGAAGTCTTTTGCCATTGAGATACAAGCATGATGTACTTACGATGGCCAGTTTATATCATATTGGAAATACTTACTTGTTTTGGTGGTGCGATAGTATATAAATAGAAACATTAACTAGTTCTAAGTGTAGAGGTCAGGTCATATGAGGTTCCACTGAGTGTGAGTATTTGTAGTTTACATAGTATATTCTTCAGTGTCAGTTTTATCCCCCTCAGAATTCTGGCTATATAACACTACCAATACCTGTTTTTTCAAACTCGGAGAAAAAACCCCATATACATGTATGTATGGGTGTATACCATAATTTTCCTAAATATAACTTTAATTCATATCTAATATATTTAGTTTTGACAGTGTTGGACAGTTTTGTCTAGGTATTGAGTCCAGACATGGGGGACATACTGAATACTGATTATATCGCCAATGAACACATGTTTTACAAAACTCTTTTTATATCTCGTGTTAAAGCAAGCGTAGCATCTTTCATGTTTATGTGCTTACAGTCACAGTTTCAAAACATATTTTTTTGCCATATTTTATTGTTATTACTTATATTGGACATTATATAATAAATTAAAGTACCGGTCCTTTTCAATTATAATCTAGATTGTTTAAAGGGGAAATTGTGTAATCTAGTCAAATTAACCGACACTTGCACATCGTAAATGTTGCCCCAATATACGTCTATTGGAAAAAGACGAAATGTTTATCACGTTACAAGGCAATGCTACTTTATATTAAGCATAAATGGGTAATTTTAAATAGATCTTGTGGAACTCGTTTCTTTTTAAATATCCACTACAAGACGGGTTCCCCCCCCCCCCTAGTATGTGCTGGCGTTATTTCTTTTCCGTTCGGGAAATTCAAGTAGCGCTTTCTGTTCATTGTGCCGATTGTAACTGTACATCTGTGGTACCGTAGACAGGAACAGCAGCCATAGCAGACACATACATGGCAGTAGTAATATACTGTATTTTCTCTGTCCAGACTTAATCCCCATCACCCATGAACGCGGGATAGTCGCGGAGGGCTTATCAATGTAAAGCCGGCGGATGTACCTTGATATAGCCGGCGTTTCTTCAGCGATCATCCCGCCGCTACGAGCGACAGGGATTAAAATTTGTCGCTCTGCGGGCGACTGAGTACCAAATCACCTGACGCGTACTGTATATATATATATTATAAATATATTTGTTGTTACATGTAATCAATATAAGTTGAGATAACTTGTGCCTAATCCTTTTTGTTGAATGACAAATAAAATATGTTTAAATCAAACATACTAAACAGCCCTATTGACTGTCAAGTGGATGTATGGCTATCTTGTTACATATTTTGATATTTTTATTTCAACAAGAACTTCGTAATTTCTATCTGAAAATGAAGTTTAGAATTTTATTTGTCAATTCGATGGAAGAAGTTCAAACAGCAACAGCATCACATTGAGAGCTGACAGATCTGTGATGAATTGAGCCCAGACGGCTTCCACTGAGAGCTGACGGATCTGTGATGAATTGAGCCCAGATGGCTTCCACTGAGAGCTGACAGATCTGTGATGAATTGAGCCCAGATGGCTTCCACTGAGAGATGACAAATCTGTGATGAATTGAGCCCTGATGGCTTCCACTGTAAATACCTGCTTTGGCCTGAAGCTGTTATAGGTACACAAAGACTGGTGCTTGGCTGATCAGGGTGCCTTTCATTCTATGTTGTTGAGCCAAAAGTCAATGGATTCCTTGCCTTTGTGTGGTCGTAACAAAAGTCAATGGATTCCTTGCCTTTGTGTGGTCGTAACAAAAGTCAATGATTTTTTTGCTTTTCTGTACAATTTGGTCTGAAAGTGTTTGGACTCCTTACCATGGTGTGGTCTAAACTAAAAGTGTTTGGACTCCTTACCATGGTTTGGTCTAAACTAAAAGTGTTTGGACTCCTTACCAGTGCCAGTGCCTTAGTCCAAGATGTTTCTTATCTTATAAGCTCACCTGGCGTCCGTCGTCCGTCAACAATTTCTTTAAACGACTTCTTCTTAACCACTGATTGGAATTTAACTGAATTTGACTGGAAGCATCCCTAGGTGGTGGGGAATCAAAATTATACAAATGGTGGGGCTGACCCCCCAGGGGACTGAGGGGCGGGGCAAAAAGGGGGCAATTTGGCTAAATTCCTTTAAGCGACTTCTTCTCTGGAACCAATAGATGGATATCAACCATATTTGATTGGAAGCATCCCTAAGTGGTGGAGATTCAAAATTGTACAAATGGTTGGGCTGACCCCCCAGGGGGCTGAGGGGTGGGGCCAAAAAGGGGTAATTTGGCTATATTTCTACAAACGACTTCTTCTGTAGAACTATGCACTGGATATCAACCATATTTGACTGGAAGCATCCCTAGGTGGTGGAGATTTAAAATTGTACAAATGGTGGGGCTGACCCCCCAGGGGGCTGAGGGGCGGGGCAAAAAGGGGGCAATTTGGCTAAATTGCTTTAAGCGACTTCTTCTCTGGAACTAAGAGATGGATATCAACCATATTTGACTGGAAGCATCCCTAGGTGGTGGGAAATCAAAATTGTACAAATGGTGGGGCTGACCCCCCAGGGGGCTGAGGGCGGGGCCAAAAGGAGGCAATTTGGCTAGATTGCTAAAAACGACTTCTTCTGTAGAACTATGCCATGGATATCGATCATATTTGGTCGGAAGCATTCATGGGAAGCAGGGATTCAAAATTGTACAAATGGTGGGGCTGACCCCCTGGGCTAAGGGATGGGGCCAAAAAAAGTTTGTTGCCTGGAAATGGTTGAGATCCCCACCATATAACCACATATACAATTGCTGAGTATAAAGAGAAGAATGCACATTTGCTTCCAGGATGGCTCTAGGGTCTGGCCCCACTCTTGGAAACATAGTCCTTTGGCCATAACTTTAAAACGGCTGAGATCCCCACCCCAAAACTATATAAACAAATGCTGGGCATAAAGAGACGAATGCAGTCACGATATTAGAATAGACCCTGGGGTCTGACTGAACCCCTAAGGACCTAGTTTCTTAGTCACAGCTTGGAAACAGTTGACATCCCCACCCTATAACCATATTGACAATTGCCAATTACAAAGAGATGAATGCACATATGCTTCCAGGATGGCCTTGGGGACTGCCCCACCCTTGGAGACTTAACCCCTGGGTCATAACTTTGAAATGGTTAAGATCCCCACCCCAAAACTATATATACAACTGTTGGGCATAAAGAGACAAATGCAGTCATGATATTAGAATTGATCCTGGGGTCTGGCCACAACCGTAGGGACCTAGTTTCTAAGTCACAGCTTGGAAACAGTTGAGATCCCCACCCCATAACCATACATAAAATTGCTGGGCATGAAAAATGGAATACGGATATATATGCTACAAGGATTGGCCTTGGGGTCTGGCATATTCCCTTAGATCTCATTTAGAGAATATTCTGCCATGATTGCTTAGATATCCAGGTGTGCGATACAGGCCCTATATCTTGTTGAGATATGATGTACCCTGATTACTTTGTACTTTTGAAGCAAACTTCCAAATATTTGAAGACCATCACACTGATAACTATTTATTGCACCTCAGACAGAGATATCCCATGTCATACCCCTTGCTAGATTTTTTATCATGTCTGATCTGTGAAATTGAATAGTTTTTACAAACTAAAAGGTGCAAGAAAAGAAAATCAATTACCTGTAACTAAGCAAGATTGGGTTATCTCAGTCTCTGGCTAAGATTCTGTAACATCCAAACCTCGGCCTACACCTCGGTTGGGATTATGGTACAGAATCTTAGCTGTCAACTAAGATAACCCGATCTCGCTCAGTTACAGGTGATAGATTTTATTGATGTATACATTAAGCTGCTATTGACAGTTAATCAAACTTTTGTACCAACACTTCCATTTCAGATAACCACTTTGGTAAACCACAAGGACCGTCCAAAGGTGACAGACAAGACTGCTAGGGCGCTGATCCGTGTCGGCCAGGCTGTTAGCGCGGCTGTTGACCGATTTGTAATTGTTGGTCAGTCAATTGCTGATGACAATGATGACATCAGACAGGACATGTGTGAGGCCTGTGAAGAGGCAAGATCAGCAGGTAGCCTTGAACTTTGACCCCTTTAACATGACCTTTGAAATTTTCGGTTACACATACATTGTAGCTTGAAAATGTATGTGATTTGATCTCTGACTTATTACAAAGTCAAGAACACAAACTTTGAGAAATTTAAGGAAACAAAAAAACTCTGTCTATGTATTATTGCTATCCGTCTTCGACCGTCATCGTGCGTCATCCGTCGTCTGTTAACGTTTTACATTTTCAACTTAAGCTGAAATACTATCAAAGGGATTTTATTGATACTTCATGAGAATGTTACTGACAACTCCCTGACAAAGTGTTGTTATTTTTCGGGTCGATCAGAAATCCAATATGGCCACCAGGACCGCCATTTTGAAAAACTATTTCAAACTTAAAGTCAAGTTCTACTGGGCCCATTTAACTGAAACTTGGTAGGAATGATCAACTCATGGTCCTGACAAAGTGTTGTTATTTTTTGGGTCGATCAGAAATCCAATATGGCTGTCACGGCTGCCATTTTGAAAAACTATTTCTAACTTAAAGTCAAGTTCTACTGGGCAAATCTAACTGAAACTTGGTAGGAATTATCAACTTATGTTCTTGACAAAGTGCTTTTTTTTTGGGGTCAATCAGAAATCCAATATGGCTGTCACAGCTGCCATTTTAAAAAACTATTTCTAACTTAAAGTCAAGTTCTACTGGGCCCATTTAACTGAAACTTGGTAGGAATGATCAACTCATGGTCCTGGCAAACTTAACTTAAAGTTATACTTTACTTTTTTTTACTCAAATTTTGGTAGGGATGATTGACATCATTTTCTCCACTTCATATTTCAACAACAAAAATTAATACTGTAGGACTCAGGTGACTGTTAAGGCCTATGGGCCTCTTGTATTGTTTTGTTGAGTAAATTATAATAATTTTGATTTTTTTTTTACCTTGCCAAGCAAACTCATGCCCCTGTCCTCCTGTTAGTGTTACAAAGGCGAGATTTGTCACTCGGGGTACTCTCCTGTTTGTGACCAGCTTTCCTGCCACCAGTTATACAACTTAAGCTAAGAAAAATGTCATATGGTGTCCTTTTCTTTAGGTCATCTGAGGAAAAGCATATCATGGAGTTCATTACAATAGTTTATATATTCTGCTTTTTCTCAAAAATATTGATTTCAGTCAAGTTTATGGGGAAGCTTCCAAAGCTCGAGATGAACAAAAACCTAAATATTTGAAGGCCTCAGGAATAGGGCTAAAAGATGTCAAAATACTGCATGATATTTCAAAAATCTTCTTCTTCATACCTAGGAATCCATGTGTCAAATATTCTATTAGATGGAAGGTTCTTGGGTGCTTTATCAAAATTGTGAATTTCATTACCACTAGATTTTAAATCACCCGTTCCTTCTGGGTTAGGGGCGAATTTAGGGAAATAATATTTTTGAGTGTACTCTGTTTAATAATTCCTCGATGGTTCCTGAGGTGGTGGGGGGTGCACTCTGTCCGTCATTCCCTCCTTCCTTCTGTCCATTTGTCCGTCTGTCCAAAGAGTTTGTCCGTCGTCGTCCGTCATCCATCGTCCGTTGTGCGTCTGTAAACAATTTACATTTTCGCCTTCTTCTCAGAAACCGCTGATCGATTTCAATAAAATTTTGCAGGAACACTCCTTGGTCAAATATGCACCAAAATTGTGAATTATTTGGTCCCCACCCCCAGGGGCTCTGAGGAGCGGGGCTAAAAGTGGTCAAATTGGCTTAAATTTTTAAAATCTTCTTCTCCCGACCCAGATATGCTGGAAACCAATACTCTTCATAGGTGGAAGGATCTTGATGTACTTTATATATCAAAACTGTGAATTTCATGACCCTCAAGCTTCACATTTGCCCCTGGGGAGGGGGTGAAATTTACTATAGTTTATATAGGAAAATGCAACTTTTCGGTATATTTTGTTCATTTTCAATTGGAAATTATTCAAACTTGATTTACATTATAACTATTAGATGACAGTTTGAAACTTTGACATTTTTAACCCTGTGTCATCCCCAGGGGCCAAATGGGGTCATATAGCCAGAACTTTCAACAATCATCTTCTCCAGACTGAGATAGGCTGGAAACCAATACTCATCATAGATGAAAGGGTTTGGAGGTGCTTTATCAAAATTGTGAATTTCATGACCCCCAGACTCCATGTTTGCCCCTGGGGAGGGGGCGGAGGTTACTATAGTTTATATAGGAAAATGATACTAGTACTATCCCTGAACAAGCTATTACAATCTCATTAAAGTGATCGTGGCTTCGTTAACTGAAGTACTATCCCTGGACAAGCTATTACAATCTCATTAAAGTGATCATGGCTTCGTTAACTTAAGTACTATCCCTGAACAAGCTATTACAATCTCATTAAAGTGATCGTGGCTTCGTTAACTTAAGCACTATACCTGAACAAGCTATTACAATCTCATTAAAGTGATCGTGGCTTCGTTAACTGAAGTACTATCCCTGAACAAGCTATTACTGACACATGCACAGAAGCAACATCATTATTTCAAGAAGAATAAACTGGAAAAGATTAAAAATAATGGTGTACACATCCATAGTGTTACATTATAAATAACTTTTCCAAAGGCCTGATTGTTCTCTTAAACAACACTTTGTATGTTTGTCGTTTATTATGTTAGTTTTAATATTATCAACAAAATATGCGACCTTTTTTATCACAAAAAGCTCAAAACAAATATCTTTCTCATATCAACTGGTGTTAAATTTAGATGATGTAGTCAACTCACAATTTTGTTGTTTTCTTAAAAAACACTTTGTATGTTTGTCGTTTATCATGTTAATTTTAACATTATTAGCTCAACTGGTCCGAAGGACCATAGTGAGTTTATGCCGTGGCGCAGCGTCCGTCATCCGTCGTCCGTCGTCCGTCGTCTGTCATCAACTTTTTCTTTAAAACCTATCTCCTCCTAAACGCCAAAGAGGATTTACACCAAATTTGGACTGAAGCATCAGTAGGAACGGCCAATCATTTCTTAAATAAATGAGGTTTGTTCGACCCCTGGGGGGCAGGGCCCTGAAGGGCAACTTAGCTAAATTTGCTTCAAAACGCATCTCCTGCCCTAACGCCAGAGAGGATTTCGACCAAATTTAGTCAGCTGACTGACAGAACCACTATTTGTACATAGTATATATACTACCCAGATCTTTCACACTACTTTTGCATTACATGTAGTTCATGTCAGCTTTGTTACAAATGATTTCTTTTTCATTTGGCAACATTGATAACATCAGTTTTTACATAACTCAGGTGACTGTTAAGGCCCATGGGCCTCTTGTTACATAACTCTGGTGACCGTTAAGGCCCATGGGCTTCTTGTTACATAACTCAGGTGACCGTTAAGGCCCATGGGCCTCTTGTTACATAACTCTGGTGACCGTTAAGGCCCATGGGCTTCTTGTTGTATGTAAGGACATCATGAGATGGCAGAGTGTCAAGTTCAAAAAGTAGGTAACTTTGGATTATGGTTTGACCTTTGACCTCAAACTTTGGAAAAGCTTGTCCAGGGAAAATCTTCTATACTATTTACTATTTACTTGGAGTAACCAGAAACTGTCTCTTTATACAGGTGCCAGTATCCTGTAACTGTCTCTTTGTACAGGTGTCAGTATCCAGAAACTTTGTATTTGTACAGGTGTCAGTATCCTGAAACTGTCTCTTTGTACATGTGTCAGTATCCAAAAACTGTCTCTTTATACATGTGTCAGTATCCCAAAGCTTTCTCTTTGTACAGGTGTCAGTATCCAGAAACTGTCTCTTTGTACAGGTGTCAGTATCCAGAAACTGTCTCTTTGTACATGTGTCAGTATCCAGAAACTGTCTCTTTATACAGGTGTCAGTATACAGAAACTTACTTCAGTTGACCGAACATCCAACTACTCGACTCCTAAAACCTTCACAGAGAAGACAGCAATGGTGAGGGCTGCCCGTCAGCTACTATCTGCTGTTACACGGGTCCTGCTGCTGGCTGACAAGGTCATCGTAAAACAGCTTCTGCTTTCCAAGGACAAGGTCAGTAACAAAGGTCAGAGGTAGTGTAACAAAATTGTCATCATCATTTGTCATGGACAATTGGTCAGTATGAAACTCTTCCTTTCCAATTCTTTCTGTTTTTATTAGCTCACCTGGCCCGAAGGGCGCACCATGCTTATGGTCCGTCGTCCGTCGTCGTCCGTCGTGCTTCCGTAAACAATTAACATTTTCGACTTCTTCTCCAAAACCCCTGAACCAATTTCAATGAAATTTTGCAGGGACCTTCCATGAACAAAGGTCAACAAAAATTGCGGCCGGTTTAGTCCCAAGCCCCCAGGGGCCTGAGGGGCGGGGCCAAAAAGGGTCAAATTGACTAAAATTTCAAAAATCTTCTTCTCAAGACCCAGATATGGTAGGATCAAATACTCTTCATATATGGAAGGGTCTTAAGGTGCTTTACCAAATTGTGAATTTCTTGACCCTGGGGTCTCACGTTTCCCCCTGGGGAGGGGGTAAACTTTACTATAGTTTATATAGGGAAATCACATTTTGGACCAACATTTGTTTAATTTCCATTGGAAGTAATTCAATTTGGGTAAGCATTATCAGTATTAGGTAGCAGTTTGATAGTATGCACATATGAGCCCTGATTGACCTCCAGGGGCTGATGGGTGGGGCAAAATTTATTATGGTTTATAATGGCAAATGATACTTTGAATATTACATGTTAATAACTTGATTGGAATTATAACCTTGAGTTGACAGTTTGATACTTTGAAAATTTTGAGCCAGCCATACCCCAAAGGCTGTAGGAAGGGGCTCAATGGAGTCAGTGTGCTAAAATTTCTTCATTTTCCTTGTTTAGAATCAGAGGTGCTAGTTTCAAATACTTTTTAGTCTGAAATCTGTATGCTAGATATTGAATAAGATGGTTTTATTGTTTTTTTTGTCACTTTGAATAATATTTCTGTTCATGTTAAAAAAAAAATCAACTCTCTGTATTAATATATCAGGTGACCGTTGAGGCCCATGGGCCTCTTGTTACTTTAAACAATTTCTTCTCAGTAACCAAAAGGCCTAGGGTGATGATATTTGGCCAGAAGCATGCTGGGATGAAGGGCTACCAATTTTGTTCAAATAAATGACCTTCGCCCATATTCAAGGTGACAGGGGTCACATATGTTTAAACCTTTAAACAACTGCTTCTGAATAACCAAGAGGCCTAAGGTGATGATAGTTGGCCAGTGACATGCTGTAATGAAGGGCTACCAAGTTTGTTCAAATAAATGTCCTTGACTGATATTCAAGGTCACAGGGGTCACATATGTTTAAAACCTTTAAACAACTTCTCTGAATAACCAAGAGGCCTAAGGTGATGATAGTTGACCAGTGACATGCTGTAATGAAGGGCTACCAAGTTTGTTCAAATAAATGACCTTGACTGATATTCAAGGACACAGGGGTCAAATATGTTTAAAACATTTAAACAACTTCTTAGGAATAACCGAGAGGCCAAGGGTGCTTTAATTTGGCCAGTAACATATTCGGATGAAGGGCTACCAAGTTTGTTCAAATAAATGACCTTGACATATATTCAAGGTCACAGTGGTCAAATATGTTTAAAACCTTTGAATGACTTCTACTTAATAATCAAAAGGCCAAGGGTGATGATATTTGGCCATTAACATGCTGGGATGAAGGGCTACAAAGTTTGTTCAAATGAATGACCTTCGCCCATATTCAAAGTCACAGTGGTCAATATATGTTTAAATCTTTAAATGATTTGTTCTGTATAACCAAAAGGTCCAGTGTAATGATATTTTGCTAAAAGCATGCTGGGTTGGAAGACTATAAACTCTGTTCAACCTAATGTCCTTGTATAACATTTAAGGTCACGGGCGTCATATGTTTAAATCTTTTAATAGGTTCTTATGAATCAAACACTGATATTCTGCCTGTAGTTCTATTTTAGTCCACTTTTAAGATTACAAGTGTGATTAATACCAGGTGAGCGTTTCAGGCCCATTGAGCCTCTTGTTTCCTGTGGTTTCTATTTTTAGCTCACCTGGCCCGAAGGACCAAGTGAGCTTATGGCACGGTGCGGGGTCCGTTGTCCGTCCGTCGTCCGGTGTCCGCCGTCAACTTTTTACTTTAAACAACTTCTTCTCAGTAACCAAAAGGCCTAGGGTGATGATATTTGGCCAAAAGCATGCAGGGATGAAGGCTACCAAGTTTGTTCAAATAAATGACCTTCATCAATTTTCAAGGTCACAGGGGTCAAATATGTTAAAATCTTTAAACAACTTCTTCTGAATAACCAAGAGGCCTAGGGTGATGATATTTAGCCAGTACCATGCTGGGGTGAAAGGCTACCAAGTTTGTTCAAATAAATGACCTTCATCAATTTTCAAGGTCACAGGAGTCAAATATGTTAAAATCTTTAAACAACTTCTCAATAACCAAGAGGCCTAGGCTGATGATATTTGGCCAGTAGCATGCTGGGATGAAGGGCTACCAAGTTTGTTCAAATGAATGACCTTGACCCACTTTCAAGGTCACAGGGGTCAAATGTCTTAAAATCTTCAAACAACTTCTTCTCAATAACCAAATTAAAAGGCCCAGGGTACTGATATTGGGCCTGTAGCATGCTGGGATGAAGGGCTACCAAGTTTGTTCAAATGAATTACCTTGACCCACTTCCAAGGTCAGAGGGGTCAAATGTCGTAAAATCTTCAAACGACTTCTTCTCAATAACCAAAAGGCCTAGGGTACTGATATTGGGCCTGTAGCATGCTGGGATGAAGGGCTAACAAGTTTGTCCAAATGAATGACCTTTTCCCACTTTCAACCTAATGTCCTTGTTCGACATTCGAGGTCACAGGCGTCATATGTTTAAATCTTTTAATAGGTTCTTATGAATCAAACACTGATATTCTGCCTGTAGCTGTTATTTAGTCCACTATTAAGATTACAAGTGTGAGTTTAATACCAGTTGAGCGATGCAGGCCCATTGGGCCTCTTGTTCTGGTATTGTCCTGATTCTTTTGGTTTCTGCTTTCCTTGTTTTGTCTTGATTTCCTGTGGTTTCTATTTTCCAGGAATTGTCTTGCTTGCCCATGGTTTCTATTTTCCAGGAATTGTCTTGTTTGCCCGTGGTTTCTATTTTCCAGGAATTGTCTTGTTTGCCCATGGTTTCTATTTTCCAGGAATTGTCTTGATTTCCTGTGGTTTCTATTTTCCCGGAATTGTCTTGTTTGTCCGTGGTTTCTTTTTTCAGGGATTGTCTTGTTTTCCTGTGGTTTCTATTTTCCAGGAATTGTCTTGTTTGCCCGTGGTTTCTTTTTTCAGGAATTGTCTTGTTTTCCCGGGGTTTCTGTTTTCCAGGAATTGTCTTGTTTGCCTGTGGTTTCTGTTTTCCAGGAATTGTCTTGTTTGCCCGTGGTTTCTGTTTTCAGGAATTGTCTTGTTTTCCCGGGGTTTCTATTTTCCAGGAATTGTCTTGTTTGTCCGTGGTTTCTGTTTCCAAGGAAATGTATTTATTACTGGAGGTTTCTGTTTTTCAGGTGTATTGTCTTGATTTCCTGTGGGTTTTTTTCAGGAAATTTCTTTATTTCTTGTGGTTTCTATTTTCCAGGTATTGTCTAGCCTGAACGAGTTGGACACTGTGACGACATTCACCGACTTTGTCAACTGTTTCAGTCGCTTTGGTAATGAGATGGTGGAACTGGCTCACCTGACTGGGGATAGACAAAATGTGAGTTATGCCATGGGACAAACAGTTTGTCCCAAACAAATGGATAAACACTTTGTCAAAGGCTTGCAGAGGGACAAAAACATTGTCAGACAAATGCTATTTGAGGACCAAACTCTTTGTCAGACAAATGCTTTATAAGGGACTTATATATAAAAGTGAAAGAAAAATGTTTTAAAATGAAAAGATTTTGAGGGACAGAGCCACTCCTTTTTGTCACAGACTTATGTTAAATGCAAAAGAATTGGAGTCTGTGACATGTCATCATTATAAAATAAATCTTTTGACACAATTCAGTCAATCTTGTTTGATAACAGTAATACTTAACATTGGTGCTATATTAGTCCAAGGCAAACAGTATCAACACATAGGAAAGTAAACGCTATTTATGTCAGATGTGTTCTTATCAAAGTAAACGCTATCTATGTAAGATGTGTTCTTATCAAAGGAGTTCTCAAACAAGTTCTCCAACACAGATTATGTCTCAATAACTTTATAAAATATAACCTGATGCATACTTATTTATACTGAAAAGGGTTTGATGTGTATTTGCAAATGAATTAACCTATTTTGACAGGACCTGAAGGGGGAGAAGCAGCGTGCTCAGATGGGAGCTGCTCGGGCCATCCTAGAAAAGTCCACCATGATGCTGCTTCCTTCCTGTAAAGTAAGTGTTGTTGTAGTGTGATGTTGTCTTTATCTTCCTGTAAAGTAATAAGTGTCGTTGAAGTGTGATGTTGTCTCTGTCTTCCTGTAAAGTAAGTGTTGTTGTATGTTGTCTTTATCTTCCTGTAAAGAGAGTGTCGTTGTAGGGTGATGTTGTCTTTATCTTCCTGTAAAGTAACTGTTGTTGTAGTGTGATGTTGTCTTTATCTTCCTGTAAAGTAAGTGTTGTTGTATGTTGTCTTTATCTTCCTGTAAAGTGAGTGTCGTTGTAGTGTGATGTTGTCTTTATCTTCCTGTAAAGTAAGTGTTGTTGTAGTGTGATGTTGTCTTTATCTTCCTGTAAAGTAAGTGTCGTTGTAGTGTGATGTTGTCCTATCTTCCTGTAAAGTAATAAGTGTCGTTGTAGTGTGATGTTGTCTCTGTCTTCCTGTAAAGTAAGTGTTGTTGTAGTGTGATGTTGTCTATATCTTCCTGTAAAGTAAGTGTTGTTGTAGTGTGATGTTGTCTCTGTCTTTCTGTAAAGTAAGTGTTGTTGTAGTGTGATGTTGTATTTATCTTCCCGTAAAGTAAGTGTTGTTGTAGTGTGATGTTGTCCCTGTCTTTCTGTAAAGTAAGTGTTGTTGTAGTGTGATGTTGTATTTATCTTCCCGTAAAGTAAGTGTTGTTGTAGTGTGATGTTGTCTCTGTCATCCTGTAAAGTAAGAGTTGTTGTAGTGTGATGTTGTCTTTATCTTCCTGTAAAGTAAGTGTTGTTGTATGTTGTCTTTATCTTCCTGTAAAGTAAGTGTCGTTGTAGTGTGATGTTGTCTTTATCTTCCTGGTCTCCTCTCATCACCATTTAATCAATCATTTCATTATTGTAGACGTGTCTGCGACATCCAGACTGTGATACAGCCAGACTCAACAGGGAAGGTGTATTTGTCCAGATGCGGCGTGCGCTGGAGATGATCCACTATATAGTAACGGAGGGTGGCACCGGCCAGGTCAATGGTCACTCCTGCTCGCTGAATAATGGTGACTCGGGTATATGTCTCGATAACGCTCACCACTCAACGAGTCGGGCTGTTAGAGAGTTTGAGGTTTGTACATTTTCTTCTCCTCAGAACAAATACACTTACCAGGTCCTTCTTATTAGACGTCTGATGCACACTGTATTTTCTTTAATTCTGTTATAGTAATAGCACTTTTGTAACAGAGAGATTTTGTAACAGAAATTAACTTTCACTAAACATTTTTATACGCCCGACAAATTCCTACATTTTCGACTGATCACTTTGAAACTTGGTATACATTATAATCATGATATGAAGTTTAGGCTGCATTAAAAGAATTTTGATTCAACAATTTTTCCAAAAGGTATTGCCCTTTGTTCATTTCAGTATTTGATTTTTTGTCCAGAGATCTCCTCCTACATTTAGGTTAGCATTATCAGTATTGGGTAGCAGTTTGATGGTATGCACGCACATATGAGCCCTGACTGACCCCCCGTGGCTGATGGGTGGGGCCAAAAAGGGTCGAGTTGACTGAAATTTCAAAAATCTTCTTCTCAAAGACCAAGATATGGTAGAATCAAACACTCTTCATAGATGGAAGGGTCTTAAGGTTTATGACCCTAGAGTTTGATTGGAATTATAACCATGAGTTGACAGTTTGATACTTTGAACATTTTGAGCCAGCCCTACCCCCAAGGGCTGTAGGGTGGGGCCCAAAAGAGTCGGTGTGCTAAAATTTCTTCATTTTCCTTGTTTAGAATCAGAGGTGCTAGTTTCAAATACTTTTTAGTCTTAAATCTGTATGCTAGATATTGAATAAGATGGTTTTATTGTTTTTTGTCACTTTGAATAATATTTTTGTTCATGTTAAAAACAAAATCAACTCTCTGTATAAATATATCAGGTGACCGTTAAAGCCCATGGGTCTCTTGTAAAATAAAAATGCCCGATGTGAATTATGACTTTGCTTCCCATTGTTTTAAGGCTACATAACTTTATCATTACTATCACTTCAGGTTGAATTTTCTGTCTAGCTCAAGGATAGAAAGTTGACATAAAACAGATCTCAAGTATAGAAAGTTGACATAAAACAGATCACAAGGATAGAAAGTTGACATAAAACAGATCACAAGGATAGAAAGTTGACATAAAACAGATCTAAAGTATCCTGTTTTACAGTAACATGTATGATTTACAGGACCTGGTGGAGATGACACGTGTGACTGGATTGACCAGTTCAAGCTCCCCGGACAAACTGACCAGTGCCTTGGATGTAGTGGTGGAGACTGCTCAGGACTTCACTGACTCCGCATACACGCCACACGAGAACCGTGAGAGGATCATCGACACACTCAACTGTATGAGAGCAGAACTACAGCTCCTAATTAACGCCGGCCTAAACCAGGTAATCCTGGTGTCCACCAGGCTTCATCCTCAACAAGTCCTAACTGACAAAATACAAGATGGCCACCATGGTTTCTGATAGTCAGTTTTTTGTCTTCTTCAACCGGATGTTAAGATCTTGACAAAATTTGGATTAAGAAGTGATGCTTTCACACTATATTCAAAAACCGGATGTTAAGATCTTGAAAAAATTTGGATTAAGAAGTGAATATTTCATACTAAATTCAAAATCCAAAATATCCTTTGTTTGGTTATGTTGTGGTATTTTTTCCAAGGTATTTGGTGGTTCAAACCTACATACCAATTATTTTTGTTTGTCAGAGGGACCTGAACGTGAGTCTTGATATGGAGACAGCCATCCTGAAGACGGTGTCAGTTTCCAAGTGTTTGAAGAAACTGGTCAGTACTATAATCAGGTTTCTATATCACATCATCTATATCAATTTTCAAAAATAAGCTGATCAAACTTAAAAAACTGTTCCTGTTATAGTAATAGTTCTTTTCTCATCTGGTAACACATTCCAGTTATTCAAAGTGCTAGAATGGTGACCATTGGATGATTTATAATACTTTAAATACGTAATAGCCAATTGGAACAAATAAAAATGTTTGACGAAATCTATGTTGAGAGTTACTAAAGATGAAGTCTATGTTGAGAGTTACTAAAGATGAAGTCTATGTTGAGAGTTACTAAAGATGAAGTCTATGTTGAGAGTTACTAAAGATGAAGTCTATGTTGAGAATTACTAAAGATGAAATCTATGTTGAGAGTTACTAAAGATGAAGTCTATGTTGAGAATTACTAAAGATGAAGTCTATGTTGAGAGTTACTAAAGGCCAAGATTGTTTTGAACACAAGCAGGAATTGAACACTGATATTGCGAGCTTTGTTAAACTTTTGTTTCCTAATTTGTCAAGTAAAGAGTGTAAGTGACCCGCATCTGGACTCTAAACTGCTGAAATAACTCACTAAGCCACCGTGTTCCCAGTCAGTTGTCTCTCTGATGTCTTCCTTGTCTTACAGGGAAGACTTTGAAGAAACTACAATAAATCAGCCTTTACAGACCAAGCTCACACACACAACCACATCAATCACCCTTTACAGAACAAGCTCACACACACAACCAAATCAATCAGCCTTTACGGACCAAGCTCACACACACAACCCCATCAATCAGCCTTTACAGGCCACGCTAACACACATAACCACATCAATCAGCTATTAAAGACCATGCTAACGCACACAACCACATCAGTCAGCCTTTACAGACACCACATCAATCAGCCTCTACAGACCAAGCTCAAACACACAACCACATCAGTCAGCCTTTACAGACAACGCTCACACACACAACAACATCAATCAGCCTTCACAGACAAAGCTCACACACACAACCACATCAATCAGCCTTTACAGACCACGCTAACTCACACAACCACATCAATCAGCCTTTACAGACAAAGCTCACACACACAACCACATCAATCAGCCTTTACAGACCAAGCTCAAACACACAACCACATCAATCAGCTATTAAAGACCATGCTAACACACACAACCACATCAATCAGCCTTTACAGACAAAGCTCACACACACAACCACATCAATCAGCCTTTACAGACAATGCTCACACACACAACCACATCAATCAGCCTTTACAGTCCATGAACACACACACAGCCACATCAATCAGCCTTTACAGACCATGCTAACCCACACAACCACATCAATCAGCCTTTACAGTCCATGAACACACACACAGCCACATCAATCAGCCTTTACAGACCAAGCTAACACACACAGCCACATCAATCAGCCTTTGCAGACCATGCTAACACACACAACCACATCAATCAGCCTATACAGTCCATGAACACACACACAACCACATCAATCAGCCTTTACAGCCCATGCTAACACACACAACCACATCAATCAGCCTTTACAGACAACGCTCACACACACAACCACATCAATCAGCCTTTACAGCCCATGCTAACACACACAGCCACATCAATCAGACTTTACAGACCATGCTAACACACACAGCCACATCAATCAGCCTTTACAGACCATGCTAACACACACAACCACATCAATCAGCCTTTACAGTCCATGAACACACACACAACCACATCAATCAGCCTTTACAGTCCATGCTAACACCCCCAACCACATCAATCAGCCTTTACAGTCCATGCTAACCCACACAGCCACATCATTCAGCCTTTACAGACCATACTATCACACACAACCACATCAATCAGCCTTTACAGGCCACGCTAACACACACAACCACATCAATCCGCCTTTACAGACCATGCTAACACACACAACCCCATCAATCAGCCTTTACAGACCATGCTAACCCACACAGCCACATCAATCAGCCTTTACAGACCAAGCTCACACACGCAACCACATCAATCAGCCTTTACAGACCAGGCTAACACATACAACCACATCAAAGACTAGAACAACTGGAAAGTGGTTGAAATGAGGGACACCATGCTAACACACACAGCCACATCAATCAGACTTTACAGACCATGCTAACACACACAGCCACATCAACCAGCCTTTACAGACCAAGCTAACACACATAACCACATCAATCAGCCTTTACAGACCAAGCTAACACACACAACCACATCAATCAGCTATTACAGACCAAGCTAACACACACAACCACATCAATCAGCCTATACAGTCCATGAACACACACACAACCACATCAATCAGCCTTTGCAGACCACGCTAACACACACAACCACATCAGTCAGCCTTTACAGACCACGCTAACACACATAACCACATCAATCAGCCTTTACAGACCAAGCTCACACACGCAACCACATCAATCAGCCTTTACAGACCAGGCTAACACACACAACCACATCAAAGACTAGAACAACTGGAAAGTGGTTGAAATGAGGGACACCATGCTAACACACACAGCCACATCAATCAGCCTTTGCAGACCATGCTAACACACACAACCACATCAATCAGACTTTACAGACCACTCTAACACCCACAACCACATCAATCAGCCTTTACAGTCCATGCTAACCCACACAGCCACATCATTCAGCCTTTACAGCCCATGCTAACTCACACAACCACATCAATCCATGCTAACACACACAGCCACATCAATCAGCCTTTATAGACCAAGCTAACACACACAACCACATCAATCAGCCTTTACAGCCCATGCTAACACACACAGCCACATCATTCAGCCTTTACAGACCATACTATCACACACAACCACATCAATCAGCCTTTACAGCCCATGCTAATACACACAGCCACATCATTCAGCCTTTACAGCCCATGCTAACTCACACAACCACATCAATCCATGCTAACACACACAGCCACATCAATCAGACTTTACAGACCATGCTAACACACACAGCCACATCAATCAGCCTTTGCAGACCATGCTAACACACACAACCACATCAATCATCCTTTACAGACCACGCTAACACACACAGCCACATCAATCAGCCTTTGCAGACCATGCTAACACACACAACCACATCAATCATCCTTTACAGACCATGATCACACACACAACCACATCAATCAGCCTTTGCAGACCATGCTAACACACACAACCACATCAATCATCCTTTACAGACCATGATCACACACACAACCACATTAATCAGCCTTTACAGTCCATGCTAACACACGCAGCCACATCATTCAGCCTTTACAGACCATGCTAACTCAGACAACCACATCAATCAGCCTTTACAGACCAGGCTAACACATACAACCACATCAAAGACTAGAACAACTGGAAAGTGGTTGAAATGAGGGACACCATGCTAACACACACAGCCACATCAATCAGCCTTGACAGTCCATGCTAACACACACAGCCACATCATTCAGCCTTTACAGACCATACTATCACACACAACCACATCAATCAGCCTTTACAGTCCATGCTAACACACACAGCCACATCATTCAGCCTTTACAGACCATGCTAACTCACACAACCACATCAATCAGCCTTTACAGACCAGGCTAACACACACAACCACATCAAAGACTAGAACAACTGGAAAGTGGTTGAAATGAGGGACAACTGGATAGTCAGAAAAATCAAAGAATCCATCTGGGGTGGGAGGGAAGGGGATTTGTTGAACAGAGATGAAGGGGGCCACCAACTTTATGACCCCATTTTAACATCCAATAATGGCTGTAATGGGTAAACATGCTGTAACTTAGTGAGTGGTATTCAGTAGTTTAGAGTCGAGACACCAGTCAATAACACTCTTTGCTTGACACAGGAAACAGATGTTTTTGAAAGCTCGCAAAATAAGTTTTCAATTCCTGTTTGCGTTAGAAACAAACTAAGCCTTTATTATTACATACCTAACTGATTATTCCTAATATGTTAAGAGTTCCTTCCCTTGAAACAACATGCACGTTTTAGATAACTACTTGCAATGCTGTATAAAAATTTATAAAAAAGCTCAAGAAAAGACATTTAGAATAAACTGTAAATTTCTGAGTTCAAACAAAATTTCAATAAAATGACAATGGGGTCAGGTTTCAAATAACTTACAGCAGTGGTATGGGTGTTATCCACTGGTCAGGACTGACCAATTGTGAAATATTTCACTGGTTGTCATGGTTACTGTTTGTAAAACTCTTTGTCCTGATTCTATGTTTAGCTACAGGATACAGCGATGGAGCAAGCGTCCGAGCTGTTTAAGACAAATGAGGATCATGACCTTCTGAAATGTCTCAAGGGCGCAGGAATCGCAGGGGAGGCGGAGCGAGTCGAGGAACTCACTGTCAAGTTTGAGGAACATATGGAACAGCTTGAAGAGGTTACTTCTGTGTTTGATATTACCCTAAGTTGTTACACATTGAGATCATAAAATCAGTGATCCTTGATCATGGTCTGGAAGTGAAACGACCAATAATATTTCGGGGAACAATTGTTATCAGAAACTTTTGCATCATACTTAACCAATATTCTGGTATTTCCTATTTTGTGATTACTATTCCTATCTACCCATGTTTTTAACTCACCTGGAACGAAATGCAATAGAATAGTTTCTATCTAGCACTTTCCCTTTAAAAGCCTTCTGGTCCAGAGCGACTGATAGAGATCTGTACAGAGTTTGGTATAACACATCCCTAGGCTAACAAGAAAATGTTGTATAAATGTAGTGTGTGCCTCCCCACAAACCTCTGAGCTAAGAATTATGGGTAAATCTTCTGTGTAACACTTACCAGGTCCGTGATAACTGTATACCGGGAAATGTTCACCCAGTCAAATATTCACCTTTCAATGTTAAAATCTGTATTCACCCAGTATTAATTTCACCCTTCACATATACTTATTGTTTATTGTTCTTCAATATTCGCTGTCAAAATGGCAAAACCGACGAAAGTCAAAAGATTTCAAATATTAACTGGTAGACAGTAGGGGTGTCACAATATGCCAAGAGTGTATCACGATATATTGTCATAGGAAGGATGTGCTCAATTTTATAATAAGTTGAGGTCAGAATGTTATTAAACTTAATCATATATAATATGGATTATATAGCTTTAAGATTTTTGTCAAACAAACCATCGATTACAAAATTTGAACTATTAAAAGCCTGCTTTATGCGTATTGGCATATCTGTTAGAATTTGTAGTAATTTGCAAAGTTAAAACACCAAGCAGATACATAAAAATATGCTTTTTAAAAATATTGCGATCCAGCAATATTTCATCTCTGTATTGTGGTATGATATGATATACCCGTGTATTGCAATTTACATGTGGTCCGATATATTGTGACAGCCCTAATATTTTGTCTCTGATTAATATGGGCAATTCCTATCCATACAAACTTCATTATTAAGTTATAAAATATTCCAAGATGATGTCTACCTGTATGGTAGTGCTTTAAATGTGAGATGGATTGTGTTACAGGTATGTAAGCTGTTTCGACACATCGCCACCACAGAGCCTCTGGTCATCGCTGCAGATCATAACGACTCGATCATAAAGAATATCGGACCACTGGTAGGTACTATCAAAGATGAGAAAAATTGGTTCTGTTGAGAAATATAGACTGAGAGGAACTATAAAATTCATTTTTTAACACATGCAGGATATTTTTTGGAGTTCAGTCACCATATTATAATAATTCATATTTGAGTTGTATTTAGTCACTTATATAAGATAATTCATATTTAAGTTGTATTTAGTCATCATTATTTAATAATAAACTGGAAAAACCTGTGTTATTTGTGCAGGTATTTTTTGGGACTGAAATTGCTGAAAAAAAATCTACTAATCTATTTTGTGCGTCAACTTTTTCCTTCAAAAACGATACAAGATACAAGAAACTGTATTTAAAGTCGCATACATGTAAACAAAGAACATGGAGAGCTATCATTGCAAAACAAGTAAAGGGAGATAATCACACATTAATATAAAGCAGTAATAATTGTCACAGAAAAATAAAATATCCTATCCAAGGTTTCTGTGTGATTTGGAGTCCCCTACCTACAGAGGCCCTTGGGACATGACACTTTTGATGCAATAAATATATAAAGATAGTGTTAATATGAAAAGCAATAAATGTGATCTAAGATAAGTATTATTCCGATTAAATTGATAATAGTGAATGAATGAATACTTGCATATCACACAAGAATTACTTTGGACTTTGGATTAAAACTCCTAAAAGTGGAATATACATACAATGCTAATGTAGCAAAGAATAAAATTGACAGAATATACACATAATATAGTGTGAAATATAAAAATGATACCGAAATCAATTAACAAAATTTGTAAAAAAAATATAGTTTAGAATATATGAAATTAAAATAAGAATAAGATGCTGCAAAAAATGTAGAATATGATTAATACATATATGAAATGAAATAAAACAATATTGTATATACAATCCAAAATGTCAGGTGGCAGAGGTAACCAGGGCACAATATGAATTATATTGCAAAGGCAGATGAGGCCATCCCAGGAATGGACCAGCTTCCTGAATTCTTTGAAGTTTTCAAATTTTTGGAAGTCATTGGGGAGACTGTTCCACAACTGGGCGGCCCCAAAAAGCAAATCATTTTTGTTTATTGTTGACCCTGGGCACTTGCAATTTTCTTCCCTGAAGTCATAATGAGACATCTTAATATTTATAAGGTTGTGAATATATTCAGGAGACATTTTATTTATAGTTTAAAAAAACCTCACAACCCATATCCTTCAGACGCCTTGCATGTAGCAAATCACTGTTGGTAATACTGAGTAAGTGTCTGAAGGGTGAGTGCTGATCATTGTGTATAAACCTTAAAGCTCTTTCTTGTATCTTTTATAACTTTCTGACACTCTTCATGGTACAAGAGTGCCTGACTAAAGGACAGCAGTTAAAATTTGAAACAAGAAAAGAATTATAAATTACATGTCTTCCTTGTTTGGTTAAAAAAACTCCCAATTCATTTCAAAACGGACAATTGCCTTGAGGCTTTCTTTTTAATTTCAGAGAATATGAGCTTCAAAGTTTAAAAATGATTCAAAGTTTACACCTAAAAGTTTGACAACGCTGTCAGGAACAATATCTGTTTCGCCAACACTAAAAGACTGTATAGCATCTACCAAACGTTTCTCTATACAAATCGCCTGGAATTTATCAGGGTTTGCTTTCATCTATTTTGACAGTAATTTTCAATACTATGTTTTAAAACTTCTGGGTCTTTATTTGAGTCACTGACAGTGTTGTCGTCGGCATAATTATATAATTTACAGGATGTCACATATAAAAAACATGCCATTTACAAATACATTAAAAAGCAAGGGTCCCACCAGGTTAACTGAGGCTTTGCTCAGGCTATAGGTCTCCAGCTTCCCGACAAACAACTTATGAGGAAGACAGTCAAAAGCCTTGGAGAGGTCCATCAGTATGGCAGTGACATACTCATGGTTGTCCAGGGCTCTACGCCAATCCTCAACAAGTCGCAACAGGGTGGATTGACACCCAAAAGTAAAAAATGCAGTCAGTTGATCACACATGGTTCCTTCAAAAAATTTTGATATACAAGGTAAATTCCGGCTGGTCTGTAGTTTTGTTTATCTAAAATATCTTTTTTCTTAAAAGTAAGAACTACCTGTGCCTCCTTTAGTCTGCAAGGGAACTCTGATTTATCAAAACAGTGGTTAATCATATCGCTCAGAGGCACACTGATGTCTGTAGAACAGGTTCTAAGGAGTTTTGAAGATATGCCATCAATACAGATGGCCTTCTTCGCCTTCACCTTAGAGATGCCTTTTCAACCACGAAAGGAGAATCATGATTAAAATAATATTTTGACTCGTCATTATTGTGTGCACTAATCTCTCGTAATATAGTTTCATCAGAATTGATCACAAACTTGTCCCATATTTTTTCCTTTTAGCTTGCCAGAGGATCGCTAAATTGAAAAATTCTTAAGACTCGTTTATAAATCTCAAATGAAATGGAAACTCATGTAAGATCCTATATATAATCCCCTTACATTCATGGACATTAATTTTCTGCTACCCATAGCAACCATGATGGCACAGACAAGCCAACTGATCCCGTCCAAAGCATCCCTCGCACACCCAGCTTGTCTCCCCCTCGCACACCCAGCTTATCTCCCCCTCGCACACCCAGCTTGTCTCCCCCTCGCATACCCAGCTTGTCTCCCCTGGCACACCCAGCTTGTCTCCCCCTCGCACACCCAGCTTGTCTCCCCTCGCACCCCCAGCTTGTCTCCCCCCGCACGCCCAGCTTGTCTCCCCTGGCACACCCAGCTTGTCCCCCCTCGCACACCCAGCTTATCTCCCCCTCGCACCCCCAGCTTATCTCCCCCTCGCACACCCAGCTTGCCTCCCCTCCCACACCCAGCTTGTCCCCCCTCGCACACCCAGCTTATCTCCCCCTCGCACCCCCAGCTTGCCCCCCCCCGCACACCCAGCTTTTCCCCCCCTCGCACCCCCAGCTTATCTCCCCCTCGCACCCCCAGCTTGTCTCCCCCTCGCATGCCCAGCTTGTCTCCCCTGGCACACCCAGCTTGTCCCCCCTCGCCCCCCCAGCTTGTCTCCCCTCGCACAGCCAGCTTGTCTCCCCTGTCACACCCAGCTTGTCCCCCCCCGCACACCCAGCTTTTCCCCCCCTCGCACCCCCAGCTTATCTCCCCCTCGCACCCCCAGCTTATCTCCCCCTCGCACACCCAGCTTGTCTCCCCTGGCACACCCAGCTTGTCCCCCCCTAGCACATCACATTTCCCCATACACAACACACTTAAAAAACCCAGAAAAAAGACCCCAGTTTATAAACCACAACTGTACTGTTTGTATGTAGGTTACCTTCATAAAATTTATCAATACATTACCAGACCATCAAACCTGACAATTGTAATTTTTATTAGGACTCGAGGATTCATAAACATCTAGATTTTATAAGAGTTGTGTTGAATCCTAATTTTTGGACATAGATAGTCCTAAGAATGGTGGACGTGTTACCCTTTTTCAATATCTGAAATGCATTTTTAGCTCACCGGGTCCGAAGGTGAGCTTATGCCATACCGTGGCGTCCGTACGTCAACAATTTCTTCAAACGACTTCTTCTTAACCACTGATTGGAATTTAACTAAATTTGACTGGAATTATCCCTAGGTTGTGAGGATTCAAAATTGTACAAATGGTAGGGCTGACCACCCAGGGGGCTGAGGGGTGGGGCCAAAAGGGGGCAATTTGGTCATAATGCTTTAAACAACTTCTTCTCTGGAACTAAGAGATGGATATCAACCATATTTGACTGGAATCATCCTTATGTAGTGGGGATTTAAAATTGTACAAGTGGTGGGGCTGACACCCGAGGGGACTGAGGGGCAGGGCCAAAAGGGGGAAATTTGGCTATATTTCTATAAACGACTTCTTCTGTAGAACTGTGCACTGGATATCAGTCATATTTGGTCAGAAGCATTCATCAGAGGCAGAGATTAAAAATTCTACAAATGGTAGGGCTGACCCCCCTGGGCTAAGGGGTGGAGCCAAAAATAGTTCATTATTTGGAAATGATTGAGATCCCCACCCTATAACCATATATGCAATTGCTGAGTATAAAGAGAAGAATGCACATATATATATGCTTCCAGGATGGCCATGGGGTCTGCCCCACCCTTAGAAACTTAACCCCTGGGTCATAACTTCGAAATGGTTAAGATCCCCACCCCAAAACTATATATACAGTTGTTGGGCATACAAAGACGAATGCAGTCATGATATTAGAATTAACCCCAAGGTTTGCCCCGCCCTTGCAGACTGAACCCCTGGGTCATAACTTTGAAACGGTTTGAGATCCCAACCCCAAAATTAAAAATACAAATGCTGGGCAAAAAGAGACGAATGCAGTCATGATATTAGAATTGATCTTGGGGTCTGGCCACAACCCTAAGTACCTAGTTTCTGAGTCACAGCTTGGAAACAGTTGAGATCCCCACACCATAACCATACATAAAATTGCTGGACATGAAAAATCTAATACAGATATGCAACATGGATTGGCCTTGGGATCTGGCATAATCCCTTGGATCTCATTTGGAAAATATTTTGCCATGATTGCTTAGATATCCAGGTGAGCAAAACAGACCATCTGGGCTCTTGTATATAAGCTGTATTTAGTCATCATTATACAATTATGGACTTTTGTGCTGGTGAATATGATGTGATATGAACCTGAAAGAGTGATATTGACCGAGGCGAAACCGAGGTTTATATCACATCATATTTACCAGCACAAAAGTCCATAACTGTTTTATTATATGCTTCAACAATAAAACAAAACAAAACTCAAGGTTCTGATTTTTGTACGCGATTTAGCCAGGTTTGAATTCAACAGTTCAGCATCGTAGCTTTCGAAGACATCGTCTAGGTTCTTTTTCTTCAGATAAGCATGGAGGACATGCACTGCGTGTTCAATGGCCTTTTCTTTATGTTAACAGCATCTTTATCCTCGAATAGTTTTAGAAATTTTAACGGAAGAGAAACGTTCGCCAGCAGCCATCTTCTATTGTCGTCTGACAGACTGCGTTCCGGTCTAACTGCGTATGCGCTACGACAGGTTCCGGGGAATTTCCATATAGGCTATATTTAGAAATCAATATTCACCAGATAACCAGTCTACATGAGTTTTTGAGGACTGGTCACGTGTATAGAATCCGACCAATGTGATTACGAGAAATTTTCATGCATATAAAAATATGTAATAACTATATATAAGCTGTATTTATTCACCATTATGTATTATTAATGTAATAATTTATAATTTATATTTTTCAAGTTTTTTTCACACAGGTCACAGGGGAAAAAGTTTGATAGCTTCCTGGAATTATGGAATTCTTGTAGATGCCACAGAAAAGTACCATATCCTCTAAGTTCAACGTGAAGGTAGAATTGTGTTTTAATCAACTCTGGGTAAAACCATTTTATGTTTTAATTCCTTTTCTCTTTCAGACAATGATGGCAGCGAAAACCCTCAGTCAGTACCCTAACAGTAAGATCGCCAGAGAAAACCTGGACACGTTTTCCGACGCTTGGGAATCTCAGATCAATGACCTGTCTGTTCTGGTTAAAGAGGTCAATGATGTATGTCAGGGTCGGATGGACAAGCCAGTGTACCTATCCCTTCCCAGACCAGGGGTCAGTATTATGTGTACTCTTGTATCTTTTTACCCTCTGTAAATGAAGTTATGGGGGGGGATATAGGAATCGCTCTGTCTGTCCTGCTGTCTGCACGGCTGTCTGTCCATTAAACTTGTGTGTTCAAAGCCTAATAAACCACAACACAACATAATGAAAGTATATATTGATTATGATGTGCATGAAGAGAGAAATTTGCAACTCAGCAATTTTTAGCTCACCTGGCACGAACCTTATGGTATAGTGTGTTCCCCGTCATCTGTCAACTTTTTCTATGAACGAGTTCTTCTTAAGAATTGGAGTACCTTGGGCCATGATATTTGGCCAGTAGGTACCTAGGACAGAGTGCTTTCAAGATTCCTAAAATAAATTACCTTGACCTGCTTTATAGGTCACAGGGGTTAAATATGAACAATTTCCTCGGAATAACCAGGAGACCCAAAGAATAACACTTGGCAAGTAGGTACCTGACATGAAGTGCTATAAAGTTTCTTCAAATAAGTGACCTTAACCTACTGTCAAGGTCACAGGGGTCAAATGTGTTCAAAAACTTTAAACATCTTCTTCTGAATAATCAGGGGGCCCGTAGTAATGATAACTTGCCAGTAGGTACCTGGTGCTATAAGGAGTCCTCAAATTACTTACCGTGACCTGATTTCAAGGTCGCAGGGGTTAAATATGTAAAAATCTTTAAACAGAGTCTTATGAATAACCAGGAGGCCCAGAGTAATAATACTTGGTACCTGGCATGAAGTGATATAAAGTGTGCTCAAAATAATGACCTTGAACAACTTTCAAGGTAAAAGGGTTCAAAATTTAAAAAACTTTTAAACAACTTCTTCTGAATAACCAAGAGGCCTAGAGCAATTGTATTTGGTCAGTAGGTATCTGGAACAGCATGCTATAAACTTTCTTCAAATAAATGACTTTGACATACATTCAAGGTCACAGGGGTCAAATATGTTAAAATTTCTCCAGAATAACCAGGAGGTACTGATACCAGGAGGTACTGATACCAGGAGGTACTGATAACCAAGAGTACTGATACTTGGCCAGTAGATACCTTGCATGAAGTGATATAAAGTTTTCTCAAATAGATGGCCTTGACCGTCTGTCAAGGTCATAAGGGTCAAATATGTTTAAAAACCTTTAAACCTCTTCTGAATAACCAGGAATCCCAGAGTTACGGTATTTGGCCAATAGATCTCTGCGACAGAGTGCTATAAAGTGTCCTCAAATAAATCACCTTGATTACTTTCAAGCTCACTGGGTTCAAAGTTGTAACAAACCTTTAAACAGAACCTTAACCAAGAGGTGTCTAGAGTTATGATTTTTGGCCAGTAGGTACCAGGGACAGAGTTCTATAAATTTTCTCCAAATAAATTACCTCGGCCTACTTTCAAGGTCACAGGGGGCAAATATGTGAATGCTTTTCTGCAATACCAGGAGGCCCTTAGTGATGATATTTGACCAGAAGCCTGCTGTAGTATAAAGTTTCATTAAGTCTGGACAAGGGGACTCAATACATGGAAATATTTGCAAAAGAACTCTTATTGAGAATATTTCCTATGATTGCTCAAAGATCCAGGTTAGCAATACAGGCCTTTTGGGCCTCTTGTACGAATTATGATGAATGCATCCTTATTGATATGATTATTCTGTTGAAGATTTTATAATTTCCAGAAGATGTTTATTTGTTAGACCACTTCTGGCCACCCAAACAGTACTGAACACAAGAACATTGAACAAAAACCAAGCTACCGTGAAACAGTGACCAAATGAATGCAATCTTTCAGACTTATCAAAGGGGAATTCAACCTGGGAGGGGTTTACACAGACCTTGATATGTCTCTAACACCGTGTGAGGGGTTTACACAGACCTTGATATGTCTCTAGCACCGTGGGAGGGGTTTAAACAGACCTTGATATGTCCCTAACACCGTGGGAATAATGTCACAATACAAATTATGTTGTGTGAACCCCCCCCCCCACCTCACTCATCACTTGGCATGTCCAGTGCCCTGATTACAGACTCTGTACATTGTACTGTATATATGCAGATATTAATCAGCATGTTTCTGTCCTGATTGGGTGTCAATGTCTTATAATTACTGTCATTTCCTGAGGTTGATTTGTAGTTTTGATAAACTCCTAGCTGGCATGTCTTCCATCTGTTTAGGTGCCATTATTATACAATCATTGGTCTTTTCCTGAATTCAATACTATTATGAAACTTGTTCTTGCCCAGGAATAGTTGAGTTTGACAGAAGGAGAGAGGGGTGTGTGTCAATTTTCAAGTTAGGTTGATCCCCCGGCATGCAGATACCTGACAGACTCTGTACATTGTATTATGATAGCCCTGTATACGTAGCTCACAGACTCTTTACATTGTACTGTGATAGCCCTGTATACCTAGCTCACGGACTCTTTACATTGTACTGTGATAGCCCTGTATACGTAGCTCACAGACTCTTTACATTGTACTGTGATAGCCCTGTAGCTGACAGACTCTGTACATTGTACTGTGATAGCCCTGTAGCTCACGGACTCTTTACATTGTACTGTGATAGCCCTGTATATGTAGCTGACTGTACATTGTACTGTGATAGCCCTGTGGCTGACAGACTCTGTATATTGTACTGTGATAGCCCTGTAGCTGACTGTACATTGTAATGGGATAGCCCTGTAGCTGACTGTACATTGTAATGTGATAGCCCTGTCTATGTAGCTGACTGTACCTTGTACTGTGATAGCTCTGTAGCTGACAGACTGTACATTGTACTGTGATAGCCCTGTAACTGACAGACTACATTGTACTGTGATAGCCCTGTAGCTGACAGACTCTGTACATTGTACTGTGATAGCCCTGTAGCTGACAGACTGGACATTGTACTGTGAAAGCCCTGTAGCTGACAGACTCTGTACATTGTATTGTGATAGCCCTGTAGCTGACAGACTCTGTACATCGTACTGTGATAGCCCTGTAGCTGACAGACTCTGTACATTGTACTTTGATAGCCCTGTAGCTGACAGACTGTACATTGTACTGTGATTGTCCTGTAACTGACAGACTCTGTACATTGTACTGTGATAACCCTGTAGCTGACAGACTCTGTACATTGTACTGTAATCGCCCTGTAGCTGACTGTACATTGTACTGTGATAGCCATGTAGCTGACAGACTCTGTTCATTGTACTGTGATAGCCCTGTAGCTGAATGTACATTGTACTGTGATAGCCCTGTAGCTGACTGTACATTGTAATGTGATGGCCCTGTAGCTGAAAGACTGTACATTGTACTGTGATAGCCTTGTAGCTGACAGAGTCTGTACATTGTACTCTGATAGCCCTGTAGCTGACAGAATCTGTACATTGTACTGTGATAGCACTGTAGCTGTCTGATCATTGTACTGTGATAGCCCTGTAGCTGACAGACTGTACATTGTACAGTGATAGCCCTGTAGCTGAATGTACATTGTACTGTGATAGCCCTGTAGCTGACTGTACATTGTAATGTGATGGCCCTGTAGCTGAAAGACTGTACATTGTACTGTGATAGCCTTGTAGCTGACAGAGTCTGTACATTGTACTCTGATAGCCCTGTAGCTGACAGACTCTGTACATTGTACTGTGATAGCCCTGTAGCTGACAGACTGTACATTGTACTGTGATAGCCTTGTAGCTGACAGAGTCTGTACATTGTACTCTGATAGCCCTGTAGCTGACAGACTCTGTACATTGTACTGTGATAGCCCTGTAACTGACTGTTCATTGTACTGTGATAGCCCTGTAGCTGACAGACTCTTTACATTGTACTGTGATAGCCCTGTATACGTAGCGGACTGTTCATTGTAATGTGATAGCCCTGTAGCTGACAGACTCTGTACATTGTACTGTGATAGCCCTGTAGCTGACTGTACATTGTAATGTAATAGCCCTAGCCCTGTAGCTGACTGTACATTGTAATGTGATAGCCCTGTAGCTGACTGTACATTGTAATGTGATAACACTGTAGCTGACTGTACATTGTAATGTGATAGCCCTGTAGCTGACTGTACATTGTACTGTGATAGCCCTGTGATAGCCCTGTATACCTAGCTCACGGACTCTTTACATTGTACTGTGATAGCCCTGTATACGTAGCTCACATAATCTTTACGTTGGACTGTGATAGCCCTGTAGCAAACAGACTCTGTACATTGTACTGTGATAGCCCTGTAGCGGACAGACTCTGTACATTGTACTGTGATAGCTCTGTAGCTGACAGACTGTACATTGTACTATGATAGCCCTGTAGCGGACAGACTGTACATTGTACTGTGATAGCCATGTAGCTGACAGACTCTGTACGTTATACGTAGCTCACAGACTCTTTACATTGTACTGGGATAGCCCTGTAGCTGACAGACTCTGTACATTATACGTAGCTCACAGACTCTTTACATTGTACTGGGATAGCCCTGTAGCTGACAGACTCTGTACATTATACGTAGCTCACAGACTCTTTACATTGTACTGGGATAGCCCTGTAGCTGACAGACTCTGTACATTTTACTGTGATAGCCCTGTAGCTGACTGTACATTGTACTGTGAAAGCCCTGTAGCTGGCAGACTCTGTACATTGTACTGTGATAGCTCTGTAGCTGACAGACTGTACATTGTACTGTGATATCCCTGTAGCTGACAGACTATGTACATTGTACTGTGATAGCACTGTAGCTGACAGACTCTGTACATTGTACTTTGATAGCCCTGTAGCTGACAGACTGTACATTGTACTGTGATATCCCTGTAGCTGACAGACTATGTACATTGTACTGTGATAGCCCTGTAGCGGACAGACTCTGTACATTGTACTGTGATTGCCCTGTATCTGACAGACTCTGTACATTGTACTGTGAAAGCCCTGTAGCTGGCAGACTCTGTACATTGTACTGTGATAGCCCTGTAGCGGACAGACTCTGTACATTGTACTGTGATAGCCCTGTAGCTGACAGACT